CTGGCGCGTTGTGCATCGGCTGCCCCTCAGCCTCTGTCCCCTGGGGGCGGGCGAGGTCCCCACCGTGGGGTCGCTATCCGGCTCTGCACATCCATGGCTCCCTCCTGTCCTGTCAGCTCTGGGATCGGGGCGGGGGGTAAGGGATGCCCCCCCCTTTGTTTCCTCTGCTTGTCAGGAGCTCCCCTCCGCCCCCCCCCTCCCCTCCCCTCCCCTCCGCCCATACAGCTGCGGCTGGCCCCAGGCGCTGCCCTGGCATGAACTCCAGTAGAAGAGCCCCTCCCCCCTCCAAAAAAACCCAACCCCACCCAGCCCTAATTGCAAACAGCTGGAGCCGCCAGAACCCTCCCTTCCGAACCCTGGGGGGGGAGGGGAGCTGGCTGGGTAGGTCCCCTCCCCCGTTCTTCCCAGCCAGCCCACCCCTGGAGCCATGTCATCAACTGCCTCCCATACCACCCCCACCCCCTCTTCTATCTCCCTCCCTCACCGGGCCCCCTAGTCAGCAAGGGATTGAGCCATTTTACAGATGGGGAAACTGAGGCATGGAGCAGGGCAGGGACTTTCGCAAGGGCACCCGGCAGGGAGGCGGCAGAGCATGTCTCCTGAGCCCCAGCCCTGTGCTCTGTCCGCTAGTCCACGCGGCTCTCCGCTCTCGGGCACGGTGGCCCCAGCCGGCGCTGGCTAGCCCAGGGATGCAGCGTGGCTGGAAACCCAGGCTCCTCCCTGCTTCTCCTGGGGCGGATAATGCCCTGCGTCACCCCAGGGCTCCCTAATCTTATCTTATCGCTTCCTGGCACCCCCTCCCCCTCGCTGGCCTCCCCGGGCTGACGTCAGCACCTGCCCCGCGCCAGCTGGGAGGCAGCCGCCAGGCAGTGATGTGCCCTGCCCGCCCCGGCCTGCCGCACAGGGTGTGCGCGGGTGTGCGAGCAATGCAGTGTGTGCCCAATGCCATGTGCATGCAGTGCAGTGTGTGTGCATGCAGTACGTGTGCATGTTCAGTGCAAGGTACATGCAGTGCAGTGTGTGTGCATGCAGTGTCGTTTGTGTGCATGCAGTGCAGTGTGTGCGTGCAGTGCAGTGTGTACATGCTCGTGTTCAGTGCAAGGTGCATGCAGTGTGTGTGCGTGCAGTGTAGTGTGTGTGCGTGCAGTGCAGCGTGTACATGCTCGTGTTCGGTGCAAGGTGCATGCAGTGTGTGTGCGTGCAGTGCAGTGTGTACATGCTCGTGTTCAGTGCAAGGTGCATGCAGTGTGTGTGCGTGCAGTGCAGTGTGTGTGCCTGCAGTGCAGCGTGTACGTGCGCATGTTCAGTGCAAGGTGCATGCAGTGTAGTGTGTGTGCATGCAGTGCAGTGTGTACATTCTCGTGTTCAGTGCAAGGTGCATGCAGTGTGTGTGCGTGCAGTGCAGTGTGCGTGCGTGCAGTGCAGCGTGTACGTGCGCATGTTCAGTGCAAGGTGCATGCAGCGTATGTGTGTGTGCCACTGGGCTGTGTGCACAAGGCGTGTGTTTGTGTGTAGCACAACAATGACCCTCTCAGCACCTCAGTTCCCCTCCCCGGGGGAGCTCCCAGTCGGAGTCTCCTCCCCTCACTGGGTGTCCTTCAGAGCCAGGGTTCCTGGGCTGTTTGCTCCAGGAGGGGAGGAGGGGGTCTAGTGATTGGATCAGGGGGGGCTGGGAGCCAGGACTCCTGGGTTCTCTCCCCGGCTCTGCCACTCTCCTACTGTGTGACCCTGATCAAGTCCCTTCTTCTCCCTGTGCCTCGGTTTCCCGGGGTGTACAGTGGGGGGTGCCCTGTCCCTATGCGCCGGGATCGTTTGCTGGGAGGCGTCCCAAAGCCTCTGGTGTCGAACCCTGTGTAAGGTGCTTTGCTCCAGCAGGTGCCGGACCCCAGCCAGGGCCCGCTCGGCTGTGCTGCACCGGGGGCTCCTGCTTGTCTGAGCCGTGCAGGGGCTGGGGTATTCCCCAGAGAGGCCCCAGCGCCCTGCGCCGGGGGGCCGAGGGGAGGCTCTGAGCTCCCGTTGCCGGGCCACTGAGGATGGGCCCAGCGCTGAGCTGCCCCGGGGTGGGGGGACCCGCCCGGCTAGCACCTGCCCGCTGGGCACTGGGCACGCAGAGGCCGGCAGATGGCAGCTCAGTTGCTGATGGGGCAGGTCGGGTGGATCCGGGGCTGCCCCAGCCACCCCTGTCTCCCCACTGGGGTGTGTCCCTGACAGGGCTGGCTTAGGAGTCTGGCCTCAGGCCCACCTGGACCTCCCCTGGCCAGGTGAGCTGCTGGGGGGGACCCCCCTGGGGCAGCGCAGTGGGGATCCCAGCGCATGGGGTGGGGTGAACCCCCCATCCCCTGTGGGAGGCTGATAGGGCTGGGGAGGGGACCAGGTGGCTGCTGGTAAGGATGCGTAGGGAGTGTGGATTAATAAAGGGGGGGTCAGTGTCACAGCTGGAAAGGCAGGGGCGGGGCGGGGAGGGACAGGCTCTGCGCTGGGACAGGCACGTGCAAGCCCCTGTGCAGCCGGATGTGGGGGGAGGCTGAGGCAGGTCAAGTGTGTGTGTGGGGGGAGGGTCCTGTGTGTGTGTTGGCCCCTCACTCGCTACCCCCAGCAGAGCCGGCCAGGGAGACTGCATGGGGCTTACTCTGTGTGCGCGCGCAGTGGATGTGCACAGCTGTGTGGGTGTGCACTGGTGCTGGGGTGTGTGCAGTGTGAACAGGTACGTGCGGGTGTGCACAGGTGTGTGTGTGCGGGTATGCACGGGGGTGTGTGTGGGTGTGCATGGAGGTGTGTGCACAGATATGTGAAGTGGGTGCATGTGTGCACAGGTGTGTGGGTGTATGCAGGTGTGCTAGTGTGCATGGGTGTGTATGCAGGTGTACACAGGTGTGTGTGTGTGGGGTGTACATGGGTGTGAGGTGTGTGCAGGTGTGCACGTGTGTGCATGTGCAGGTGTGCACAGGGTTGTGTGTAAGGGTGTGCATGAGTGTGTGCGTGGGTGTGCACACATACGGGAGGTGCGGGGTGCACTGGTGTGAGTGTAGGTGTGCATGGGGGGGGTTGTGCAGGT